TAAGAGCGCTCTTCACGGCCCGGCATGCTCTTGAGAGTCCGACATAATTCATCTCTGAGCGGCAGCGATTTCGGATTATGGTGCGGTACCCGAGTATAGAGAAGCGGCAAATGATACGAAGTGCACGAGTAGTAGCCGAGCCTCGTCCACTTCTCCAGGCGGAGACTCAGGAACCAACTTCATGTCAAGGCATAATTAAGTGACAGGAACAAGTTCATGAAAGGACAAAAGGAATCGAGGGCGTTAATTGAGTCTTGAGCTCTATTTTACAAGTGGTTCGACTGGAGATCCTTCCCCAAAAATCGCGTCCCCTGGTGCTTCCCTCGGACCGGCGCAAAACCCTCGAGATTTCCTCACGCCTCTAGGCAAACAAAAACTTCGGTATAGACAGCTACATCAACCCCGAGCGCTCCCAGTCGGACCATTTATTATGTCAGGTGAGACTTAAAATTTAGCCCAGGAAGCTCTTGGTGAAGGTGGTGATGACGTCCTTGAGGCGGGCCTCAAGGTCCTTGCTGAGGGCACCCTCCTTGTCGATGGTGGCAATCAGGTCGGACTCGTTGGTGCGGAGGTGGGACAGGAAGTCAGCCTCCCACTGGAGGATCTTGGCGACAGGGACGGAGTCGAGGTGACCGTTGACACCGGCGAAGATGAGGGGAACCATCTCGTTGACGGCCATGGGGGAGTACTGCTTCTGCTTGAGGAGCTCGGTCAACTGTAGAGGTGTTTGTTAGTACTTTTCACGAATGCGGATAATAATATTGGTCAACTTACGCGTTCACCTCTGCTGAGGGTCTGCTTGGTGGAGGCATCCAAATCGGAACCGAACTGGGCGAAGGCAGCGACCTCACGGTACTGAGCCAAGAAAAGCTTCAGGGAACCAGCGACTTGCTTCATAGCCTTAAGCTGGGCGGCGGAACCGACACGAGAGACGGAAAGACCGACGTTAATCGCGGGACGGATACCCTTGTAGAAGAGCTCAGCCTCCAAGAAGATCTGACCGTCGGTAATGGAAATGACGTTGGTGGGAATGTAGGCGGAGACATCACCACCCTGGGTCTCAATGATGGGAAGGGCAGTCATGGAACCACCACCAAGCTTGTCGTTCATCTTGGCGGCACGCTCGAGAAGACGAGAGTGGAGGTAGAAAACGTCACCGGGGTAGGCCTCACGTCCAGGGGGACGACGAAGCAGCAGGGACATCTGGCGGTAGGCAACGGCCTGCTTGGACAGATCGTCGTAGATGATGAGGGAGTGCTTGCCGTTGTCACGGAACCACTCAGCAACGGAGGCTGGGGGAGATTGTTAGTCCACTATCCTTTGGAGATATACATATCGAATGTTTACTTACCACCGGTGAAGGGAGCGATGTACTGAAGGGGAGCGGCCTCGGAGGCGGTGGCAGCGACGACAATGGAGTACTTCATGGCGTCGTTCTCCTCAAGGGTCTTGACGAGCTGGGCGACGGTGGAACGCTTCTGACCGACGGCGACGTAGACGCAGTAAAGCTTCTTGGTCTCGTCGTTGGAGTTGTTCCAACGCTTCTGGTTAAGGATGGCGTCAAGAGCGACGGCAGTCTTTCCGGTCTGACGGTCACCAATGATCAACTCACGCTGACCACGGCCAATGGGAACCATGGCGTCGATGGACTTAAGACCAGTCTGGACCGGCTGGTTGACGGACTTGCGAGGCAGAATACCGGGAGCTTTGAGCTGAGCACGGCGCTTCTCCTTGGCGTTAAGGGGGCCCTTGCCATCAATGGGGTTACCGAGAGCGTCGATGACACGGCCGAGAAGCTCGGGACCGACGGGAACATCGACCTATAGTGTTGTTAATAAACATTGACTGCAGTAGACCAGGCACATTGAACCTACAATCTCTCCGGTACGCTTGACAGTCTCGCCCTCCTTGACCAAACGGTCAGAACCGAAAAGCACAACACCGACCTGGCCGGCCTCGAGGTTCATGCACATGCCCTTGACGCCGGAGGCGAACCTATGGGTGGAAGAGTTAGACGCGATGCATCTCCGAAGTGAGTAAAAGGGCGCTTAACGTACTCGACAAGCTCCTCAGCCTGGACGTTGGCCATGCCGTGAACACGGGCGATACCATCACTGTTGTTCCCTCGCCGTTAGCAAAAACCTTTTCTTGGAGTCGATGAGTTGGCATGCGAGCTCCTCGTGCAGTCCGATGATGCATTGAAGCTTTTCCGATGGTGGCTCGCGATGCCGAGAGATGCCGCTTAAACGTACCCGACGGAGAGGACGCGGCCGGTCTCGGCGAGACCAGCCTCCTCCTGGACACCACGAATTCTCTGCTCGAGGATGGAAGAAACCTCGGTCGGGGAAGCCTTGGCCTCGGCGTATGTGCGAGTCTGCATGTTGAAGACGGCGGGTGCGGCATTTCGGGCCTGAGGGTGAAAAACAGGTTAGCCGAACGGCCGAAAATGTTATGGGCGGCTCCCGCCCCAAAACAGCAACGCCATCCCCCAAGGGAGCTCGATGAAAAGCTCTTCCACGCCAGTAACACGACTCCCGCGAGATCAAAAAAGCTCGGAGGGACCTAATTGGATATCGCGGAATCGATTGCTGATGTTTTTGGATGGGATTGACGTCGGTTCGGGGATGGGGAGGTTGACGGAAGGTGTGGACTTACGGCGGCGACTCTGCCGGCAGCAGAGACGGCGCCGACGGCGCGCGTCGACTGGCGGAGGGCGTTGCGGAACATATTAGGAGATCTTGGACACTGTCTAGATCGAAGGAGAATCAATTGCAATAGATGCAATTGAGTGGAGGGGAGATTGGGGTTGATGAAGGTGCCTTTGAAGGAGTGCAAATCGAGTCTTTTTTGGAAGAAGCCCAGTGGAGGGAAAAGAGAGTGAGGAAGCAGTGGACCCGAAGCTGTGCTGGCCGGCCAATCACGGTGGGTCTTCGAGTTTTGCCTCAGTCCAACCCGAGATCTTCCTAACAATTTCCGACCGCCAGCATACGTGCCCGTCGTGGCCCCGTAACCCCGTGAAATGCCTGACTTACATAAGACAGGGGGAAAGACGCTCTGGCATTGACAGGTCTTTAACGCGCTGGGAGGACGATCTAATCTCAACCGAAAGGAAGGGGAATGGGCCTGGGGCAGCAAGGAAAAAAAATAAAAAATAAAAAATGGTGTCAATCTGGCTTTCTGCCGCACCCATTGAGTTTGCGATGCAATAGCTATCAACTACGATTGCCATACCAGGACTTTTCATCCATCGCCCCGATATTTGTCTATCATGATAGCTTCAACAATTCCTTCGCCTTAAGGTATCTCTCATATCTGCATGCATACGCTGTTCTCTTAGTCCAGGTAGCTTCCCGGCGTTGTCCCCCCTTCCCCGGCATTTTCGGTGCAGAGCTCTCCACCGTGCCATTCCCACCACCCTCTTAAGGAATGCCAACCTCTCCGTGCACCTGTTGAGGGCCAAGAGGCTCAGGACACAGTGTACGTAGGTAGTCGGAAGGCTTACTGAAGCTGTGGGACTTTGGTCGGGATCACCGAGCCTGACCGCCTCGGAGCAATGTGAAATCCGAGTCGCATTTCTGCCGTCAGCCTCGCAGTCTTACCCGCCGTTGAGCCTCGAGGCTAAAACAGAATCTCACTGCAACGTTGGTCACGTGCACCCATCCGAAGCGAGGACGGACTTTGGTAGGAAACGTGAGACTACCACTTTCAAGCAAGATTGCAGGCTGGAGTCGGTAACAGAGAAATTGAGCTTGTTTGGACTAAAGTAGACTAGCTAAACCACCAACGCCTAGGCCACTTCCATATCGCAGGCCATCATCACCAAATAAATCATGTGCAGCATCACGGCAAGGAGGAACTTGTGTTGTAAGCCGGCATGACGCCGGTCGGTCTCTGAGGCCGCGGCTTGACTGAATTTTTGCTCAAGTCAAGCGTGTTGTATGAACAACTGCTGGAAAGTACATGCCTTGTAAGCCAGTTTCCCACTTTTTCGCCAACCGTTAACCCAAGCCGTCCCAGTGTCTTTTTTCGTTCGTCGCAGAAATGAAAGCATTTATCGGACAATGCCATCGAAGCGAGACTTGAACCACTTGACGGTCTCGTCACGCTTGATGCGGTGGCCAGAGCCGATGCGGCCCTTGCAGCGGCGGCGGGTGCCGACACGCTCGCCCTTGCGGGTCATGCAGACGTAGAAGTCCATGCCGTAGATACCGATGGAGGGGTCGTACTTGATACCGAGATCAATGTGCTCAGAGATACCGAAGCCGAAGTTGCCGGTCTCGGAGAAGTTGCGCTTGCGGAGCTCGTACTCCTTGACCTTGAGGCCACGCTCGAGAATCTCCTCAGCCTGTATCATCAAGTCAGTCCACCATACTTCCTGCGCACTTTCCAAATTCGCCGAAGTTGTCGTACCTTGGGGCCGCGGACGGTGACGTGGACAGCAATCTTTTCGTTACGGCGGATACCGAAGGTACGGACGGTGTAGCGGGCCTTGCCTATCGGGTACTGTTAGTCAATCGTTTCTCGTCGTTGGAATTTCTGGTGATGCCGTACTGTAGACGGGGGTTTGACCGGACAGCTGCTCCAAAACCTTGGCGGCACGGGTCAGTCTGTCACCAGACTCGCCGACGGAGATGTTGAGGACGAGCTTCTGGATGTGAAGCTCGCGCATGGGGTTCTGGGCCTTCTCGGACGACATTTTGGCGGTTAGTACTGCGGTACGGCTGGCTGGGCGTTTGGTGTCGATTGTCGATTGTCGAAGTGGGAAAAAGTTCTGCGCCAATTGGCAAAAAAAGACTTTGTGTTTTGGGGGGTTTGCGAGCCCTTGCAAGGAAGGTGGGTGACGACCCACTTCAGAGCAGTGCACTAAACTTACCCGCGTCTCCACCCATAGATGAAAGCCACAGTGTTCCCCAAGTGGATTCTTCTCTCAGCCACATCTAGCTACGTACCGTTTTCGAGCATGGAAGGTCGTTTGGCCTCAGCCTTCCAAGATTCCCTCAGCCTCCCGAAATTTGTCTCCATATCCTCTGACTGCTGAAGCTCTGCCCATCGCAAGCATCAAAAGTCGCGCCGAAGTCCCTCAGACTTCGCAACAAGAATAACATCAATTTTTTGAAGATTTAGAGCAGCTACGAAAGTAGCTCCTCAAAAACATCAGCCAAGATGTCGAACAAACAGGGCAAGATGGTGAGCAACTCCTGACCTTTCTCTCGAAGTTTCAAGGTTGACAATACAGGCTGACACGAAGTGATTCAACTCTAGGCTGGTTACGTACGTACTATTCCTCGATACATCCCCGACGACCGATTTTAACGACTGCGCTGAGCACCGACTAACGCGACTTTTATAGATCAACTACCGTATGAGGGTTACCTTGAACGATGGCCGCCAGATGACGGGACAGATGCTTGCATTTGACAAGGTGCGCAACCCAATTCCACCCTCAATCGCGCTTCTATGACCATGCTGACCCTTTCAAAAGCACATGAACCTCGTCCTCGCCGATACCGAAGAGTTCCGACGCGTCAAGATCAGACAGAACAAGCCTGCCGCCCCTGGCGCTAGCTCCAGCTCAGGCCAAACAATCGAGAAGGAGGAGAAGCGAACCCTTGGCTTGACGATTGTCCGCGGCGCACACATCGTCTCTCTCTCAGTCGAATCAGAGCCTCCCGCGGACCCCAGCGTGCGACTTGGAAAGAGTGCGCCTGGCGGAATCTCGGCTGGTCTCACCGCTGGTCCTGGTGTTGCGCGACCCGCCGGCCGCGGCGCTGCCCCGGCTCCCCCATCACTGGCCGTTAGTACCTCATCAATCTCTGTTCCTGAGCTTCGTATGCTGACTTTTGACGCAGGGTCCTGCTGCCGGCGTTGGAGGTGGTGCTCCTCCCGGATTCCCTGGCTTCCCCGGTGCCCCGCCCTTCGGCGGTCGTGGTGGTAAGTACACATACCCCTCCGACCCGCGAATGCGCTTCTCACACTTTACAGCTCCTCCCCCAGGCTTCCCCGGCGCCTTCCCGCCCCCGGGCTTCCCTCAAAACGCCCCCTTCCCTCCTCCTGGGTTCAACCCCGGCCCTCCTGGCGGAGCCCCGGGCTTCAACCCTCCCCCGCGAAGATAGGTTACGGATAAAGATATCGATACCTCGCATGCTTTGTAGTTGGAGGATGGTTCACGGATACCATTGGCGTTTGGGGATGAATGTCAAGATTACGAACAAAAAGAAATCGGGCAGAACAGGCACGTTGTTAATCGGCCTCCTCTACCCCTGAACAAGTCATAGGTCAACATGCCAACCTATACTCGTTGGATTTGTGGAAAGAAATGGCAGCATGGACTCATTCGACAGTTCTTCAAGTCACTTCGAGGAGGAGCATAAGCGGCGATTGCTTCCATATGATTAGGCAGCACAATATTCACCACAACGTACCACCTCATTGCCATTCTCCCTTACCGCCCATTTGATTCCCAATGTCGATCTCACCGTGATACCTAATTGTATGTTACTGGCTTGGGAGATAAGCGTGATATTCGACCTTCGCGGACGGTCTGATGTTCGGTTGCTGGCTGAACGTAAATAATCAAAAGTCCTCCCTTTGGCACAACCTTGAGGGGCTAACGCTCAGCTTCCTGAGGGGGGCTCGAAAGAATTGAATGGAAACCTGGAGGCACTTGGGATCGGAATCTAGGTAACTTAGTAGCACGGCATGCTCATCGGCACGCTGCAGATGGGCATATCCTCTCAGAGCATCCGTTTGGTCAATGGCATGTCCCCAAATACACGCACACTTGTTGGCAAAGGTCAAATACCGTACAAGACCATGGGATGCTTAGACGTAGACGAAACTGCGTTTGCTCTCGGCAAACCTTGGTATTTGATGATTTGTATCCTCCTCCCTGTGTATGCTGCGAGATATTCCCCGTGACGCACCTCAACCTTCACGGGAGCGTCATGAGACGGTGCCTGCCTAAGGTGGGTGGGTAGTCCCGGAAGGAAGGAGCAAGCGGGTATCAATCGTACAGTACCTTCCACCTGAATACACGGGAAGCATTCATATACCCCTCCAGGTCCATTCCTGTCACCAGCCAGCAGGCGCCCTCTAGGTCGGGGGTCAGGTCAAACTGGCTGGATGGTGGAGTGGTTAATGGTCAACAATTAAATTCTACGCCAACCAGCCATTTCGACGACAGGCTTAGCGAGTACCCGAGTTCGAATCCCAGCATGAGCACCAAGAGATGTAGCCCCCAAATCGGCACCGGGGGGGTGAACTCTTTTTTTGGTCATATAGACATATCGATGCTTACCTTTTGTGACTATCACTACCTGAAAGCAAACGTTTGACCCTTCCTTGATGTTTGGTGAAGGAGGGCTCGCGGGTCGTGGCTCCTGCCTTCCGTGCAAACGGCAGGTGAGCCATCCCGTCGTCTACCTAAGGTACCTACTACCTACCTACCTGCCTGATTCAACTCTTCCACGTCTTCTCAGACTTTCCCAACTTCACCCCCTTTTCCTCCGTTTCCACCTCATCATCTCTTGTTTGCGAGCACCTTCTCGTATCTGAATCATCGCTTCCTTCAGTCTGCTCGCCTCCACGTTCTCAAGCCATTGGTACCCTGGTTCTTCCTGAAGAGACCTCCTAGCGTCAGCAGCATGGGTCGTTGGGGGTTCCGTATGATGTATTGTTCTTTCCTCTCTAGTCTTCTGCTAATCAGTGGCACATCCAGGTCTTTTCGAGGGCGACGAAGATCTTGACATCGTCGCCGCAATCCGAGACACTCTCGGCGACGATCTCGATCTCTACCACTTGATCAACAAAACGGATATGTTGGCTCCCGTGGAAACAAGAAAATTCTATCAAACCGAGGAATACGCACAGATTCTCGGCGATCTCGTCGTAAAGATTCGAGAACGGCTTGACTCCGGAGCTGGCGAGAAGCTCCTCAAGAAGTATCGCGTTCTTGAGCACAAGCATCAAGGCCAGTACCAGACCATCGTGATCGGCGCCTTGATGATGCGTGCTGGAGCCAACATCAAGACCCACGACTTGCAGCATCTGCGCGACCTCGTTCCCGAGGTCCCTTGCCAGTATCGCTTTGCCTTGCCGATTATGGACCATGGTTTCCGTGACCCCGGCAAGGCGCAATTTCTTGCTGCGCTCGACAACTACCAGCCGGGAACGCCCCGAGACTTTCATGAGCCAAGGCATGTCTAGCCAGGTCTCCCATATGAGGCATCAGCTGATAGACTGGTCTTAGCTGCTTTCATTGCGGCAAAATGCAGGCAGACCACGGAATCAAGTTGAAGAAGTGCGGTCATTGCCAGGCGGCTTGGTACTGCGGCATTGTGAGTTCATTAGCTCCCCGGGATTCTTAGACCACTGAAGCTGATTATTCCAAAAGGACTGCCAGAGGGCCCATCGGAAGATTCACAAGGTTTCTTGCAAGACCTCCCGGGAGAAGGTTCTTGCCAATGTCTAGAACCGCATGATGACCTTGGACCGGTATTTATCGCTCTGACATGGCCATCAGACCTGATATTTCCCGGCGTTTGATATGTACTCGGGTGGGCAGCATGAGATACTGGCTGGCTTACGGTTGGGGCGAGATGTGACGGAAGGTATGGAAGGAAACGAATCTTTCTCGCACAAGTTTAGTCCAGATGCTGGATTCGAATCGTCAGATGTAATAGGCAGACAGGAAGATTCAAATGAGACGATTACAACTAAACCATCTTGCAGTAACCCGTGTCGTAATCGTTTGCTCACGTTCTAGTTCACAAGTAGCCAAGGATAGCTGTTTCGTCCTTCGAAGTGGGAGTACGCAAGGGGGAACTAATAGCAACGGAAACTCTGCCATGATCATTCTCAAGACCCGATTAGCAAGACACGTTCTCGGATTTTCTCTAGAAAAACCTCACAGGAGACTCAAAACCAAGTATGCAGTTCAACTGCTCGAGTTTCATGTGTAACACTAAGAACAAGACTTTGAACAGCCCGGATGAGAGAGCAAAGAGATGCAGAAAAGGAAACGTCTCAATTATCCGACACAGTCCATCGAGTCTTTCTGATAACTATCTCCCGACAACCTCGTTTCATCTTGTCCGACGACGTTGGTAATCACACTTACCTCGAGACTGTGGCTCTTGAGATTGGTATGTGGCCATCATACTCGAATACAACAGAAAACAACGCCATACACGAAAGCTCAACGTCTAAGCCAAGGTCCATGGCGTAAGAAGATTTCCGCATTCCTGTTTCCAAAGATCCGCAGGAGGGAGCTTGGTCCGTTTCCTGCATAGGTGTGGACCATTCTGCGCTGAGGACTCGTTATCATGATTGAGAAGATGAAAGATGAATTATACTGATCGCCATACAGCCAAAGGAAGGATCAACATGCTTGACACATGCAAGAGAAGTAACGCCACGGGACCATCTCCCATTCAACCGCTCCACCATAAGATAGAAGATCCTCGGCAAAGCAGCCAGGCTCACTTCTTCATCGCATTCGATCTCAAAGAACTGTGAGAATGGAGGGGGGAACAGCGAGGAGGCAGAGCGTGTTCACCGTGTAGAGCCGGCCTTTGACACATATACTCATCCCAACATCTCCAAGGTTACCATCAATCACACACATATCCTCGATTCACCTGGCTGACGGAAGCTCTACTACCGAGTACATACTTCCGCAACCACTAATAAGATACCCATCCAACACTGCAACATCAAGTCATCAACACGACTAGACATCTTGTCACATATTCAAAAAACATCTGCCAGTGCAAAGTCGAAACACGCCGCTAAACTGCATACCTCAACTACAAGCTTAGCGATCGAGAGCTCGCTCGCCTCGGTCTCGTCAGACAACTGCAATGCCCTGGATAAGTACCCAACTTCCACGATGAAACAAAAGTCGGTTATCGAGCAAGACCAGACTAGCAAAATGGTGAAATCCAGGGTTCCGTATCGCTTAAAGATATCAGAGACACGTTCCTTCTTCCCTCCCTCCCTCCCTTCCTTCCGAGCACAACGCAACGCTCGATAGTCAATGCAAGTTCAACAATTAAAACGTGGGAAACAACGATTTTCTTCTCTATGGCAAGACAAAAAAGGTCCAACCGTTCTCAACGTGGTTTCCAGGTTTAAATCGGATAGATCATCCCTTTGCATCCCGTCCCGTCGTCCAAAGTCTCCAACTTATCCATCCATGCGTACTCACCATCAACGGCCTGGGGACCGGGGGCACCGGGGGTATATTAAAACAATGTCACTCTCATTTCCACACTTTTCTCTCCATCCCTCCCTTCCTCCCACGGTATATTTGCAAGATTACATTGTCTCTTTCTTTCTCTCAAGCTCAAGCACGCGCCCGTTGGAACGGTTGCCAGTGTCTCAGCTTGGATCGTTTCGTCGATCACCACGCCCCCCGCCCATGTGGAAGAGCGAGGCGATGGATCAATGGTTGTGCGTATGTCTGGGGCTGGAACCCGCGTGGAGATGAAGACAATCTTCTCAGTTCGTATCGCGTGTCGCGTGTCGAGGCTTCTCGAGGTCACGGCCTACAAGCGATAGTCGTCCGGCATCTCGGTTCCACGAGAGAGAGAACATGGATACGAGATCCGCTTGGAGCATGTTTACCTGCCTCTGTGATACCTACAATGAAAATTGCTTTTTCTTCGGTAGCGACCTTGTGAACTCGACGTTCTAGATCTCGAGATCTTAGCTACCTTCAAATGGTTATAGGCCGGATGGGAAGTCCCGTCAGGAATCGAAGTATTAGTCATGTTGATTTTCGACTAGGCGACGGGAATTGCCTGTGGCTTGTTAGTACGGCCGTCGTGCTTTAAGAGCCGTACGCGCGTGACCCTCCGCCAGGCAGTGACAGAATCCGGCAAGGCTTCGACGGGAGGGGCACTACGTCGACAGCAAAAAGGCCCAGGCCGACTACCGTAGTCGGAAGCAGAGGTCCATTATCCCCGGCAGCATCGGCCGCAGCGTACCTGCACCGACGATGTGTAGGTCTTGCTGCTGCAAATGTCTGCAACCAGCTGGACACCATTGGGAGGGGCCGCGCCGCCATGCATTCCCGGAAGCTGCACGACGGGGCAGCCGGTCTCGCCGGCGTTTAGTTCTGGAGCAATACCTATCTCCTGAGCATGAGGATCTAGACCGTAACGTCCCCGGATCCCGGTCGTGATCCCACGTTGTAAGCACGATGTAGGCGAGAGCTTCCTGCACCCCTTGCATCGCCAGCTCTGCGTGGTGATGGAGGCCTGCCGCCACCGACATATTCGTTGTCATTCAGCAGGAAGAGGCGGCTTTTCTGACTCGAAGGCTGGTAGGTAGGTACACACACATTTTACTGTAATTTTTGCTTTTCTGAGACACATTTTTCCTGCCTACTAAGTTTAGCAGAAACACGTTTGATGTCTCTCGTCTAGAGGCTTGGCCAGCAGGAAATCGACGAGTGCGGGTGGCTACATCAGAGCTCGTGGCTTCCAGGGTTGGACGTGGTTCTGCGGTTCACTTCCGATATTGCGAGTTCGAATCAAAGGTGATGGCCCGAGATCGCTACTACCCGTGCGTCACGGAGCGGCGAAAGGTGCCGAGAACGGTGATGTTCCCTCGGTAGTGATTGGCGATGAGATCGTGTTGCTGGCTCGGGAGGGTGTGGCTGTCTGATAGTCCAATGATGTACCTACTGCGGCTGGCGACATCTGCGATTGGATGGGGGAATCTAACCGTTCATGGTTAACTCGACAAGAGATGGGAGATCGGATTAGCGAAAGCGTGGGAAGAACTTACTTCGCTCATCCTCCGTGACACGGGACTATCAGCAAATGTGTTCTGGACACAGTACGACTACTACGTATTACGGCCGCCCGCAAGGACCCGGAAAACCTTGGACGACCGAAACCGTGGTAGTATGTGTGCAAGCCGAAGAACAGATGAGAGCTGAAGAATTCAAATTTGTAATACGGCGCGCGATAGAAGCCTTTGAGGCCTGCATAGGCAGTTACATCTGGCAGTCTAGCCATTATGCTGAGCCGCCTCGCAGTGTCGTAAATCTAGCCCCCAGCAATCAGGTGATCCAGCCGTGGACGGCATGCGACAATCGACGGCTGGAAATTCAACCATGAAAAGGAGGGTGCCAGCTACCTTAGGGTAAACTTCACAGCAGGTCTAGGAGCAAGCACTCTTTGACTGGACGGGAGTCAAGGCGATGGCGAGCTGCAAGATTTGTCGGCTAGCGACCTCCGCGCTCGAGGTTTTGCGCAAGCCGGTTTGCTGCCTTTGACTAAGTACTGAGAGTTCAGAATCCCCTTTTCTGTCATTAGGAATGATGTTGACAGGGCCAGTACTGCGCCCCAAGTGATCGAAAGTTGTCATTGCAATTGACAAGAAAAGTCGACTCGAACTCGCGAGTTGCGGCCTCTCAAGCCCGAAAAGTTGCATGACACGACGGCCAAGTCATCTTACTTGGGAGTTGTTGCTTTTTCCTATAGATGCTGGTTGCCTCGCGCAACACCTGCTATGCAGGTCTCAAGTCTAGCAGTAGGTAGGTATTGGAAAGACCAACTTTATCGGATGCACAACGGGACAACCGCGTCGACTTTTGCTGCGGGACACATCTCAGAAAACACCATGTAGTCAGCTGCTGTGTAAAGTGTGTCCTAGGTTTCGTCACCGAAGTAGCCTGTAGCAGACATGGCTCAAGGTCGCTGCTGTCGTGAAGGGCAAGCCAGCGCCTACGGATATAAAACGATGCCCTCCAATGGACGCCGAAAATGGACAATTTCAAATATTGGGTAGTTCAGTCAGGAGCTGACACTCTCTGGAATACCCCTATGACTCTTGTCCTGCCTCTTGACGGTTACTCGTGAAGTGTTCACCTGGAAATAGGCGCCAATGGGTGGCTCATGAAGCGGCCATCCATTTCACCTGCGAGGGAGGTGGCAGAGGCGGTGCCCACACCAAGGTCGGAAAAGCAATCAATCGAGGCTGTGGTACGGCAGACTGCAAGAGGCACTCCGCCAAAACACTTTTTTCATACGTCAAAGCAGAAATCGAATTTTACAGTCACCCTACTACCGACTATTAAACTTTATACTAGTAAGATAAACTATAGATATAGTTTATATAGAATTACGGCTTAAAATATATTATTGATTAAATTTATAAGACCTTATATAGCGGTATATAAAATCGTATATTATTATAAATTATTATAAAAATTCTTTTTTTATAACTAACTACTTTTATTATAAAGACAATTATTACTTTTTACCTTTTTATAAATAAAAATCACTCTTTACTCAAATTATTAAATTGATAGCTAGCTTATAGATACTATAATATAAATCTATGATAATTTTTAATTCTTTCTTAAAATATAAATAAATTAATTAACTTTATAATACCCCCTTATAAAGCAATCCCAAGACGAACGATTAAAAACAATCTCTTTATTAGCTCTAATTCTTTTTATATAATAAAAATATTTAAATATATAAGTTTTAATATTAATAGAATCTCTTTTTATAAGTTTTTAAGAGCGAGAACGAAGTATTTAATAAACTAAAAAAAAAGTAAAAGTAATCGCTAATAATTTAGAGAATTGATATAGAGGCATGCACCTTACAGCGGCATGCACGTATACTGCTATGATTGGCCCAAAAATTTATTATTAGTACATCTAGATTCTACCGTTCGTCTTTAAAGTACTCTTTCTATTCATAATTTCCTCTATACTAGCTTTTCCTAAGACTATCTTGGTCGTTACGGTTAGCATTAACGTATAGTACCTCTAATATCTAAATTATAGCGCAACCCACGCCGCCGAGCGGTAAACTATAGCCCTAGTAATATAATACGTCCTTTTAAACGCTAATATATTGATATATTATCGTCCTCCTCTTTAATTAGTAACTATACTAGTGTCTATTAATTCTATAGAGCTAGCGATCTCTAAATATATAGCGACCTAATTAATGATTTATTACTCAAGCTACTATAAGAAATACAACTATTATCCTACTATTAACTTTGTTACCCTAGAATCAAACTAAGACTCTACCTTAGCCGCTATTTCTCTAATAGAACCGACTCCCTCTAACCTACTACTTTACCTCGACTCTCGCCTACCCGCAGCGGCCCCTATCCTAATAACGAGCACTTTAAGTCTACGCTTTATCTTATACGCCATTTCTTAAAGGAAATATAAAATACCTAACGTATTATTCTCTCTCATATCTTACTAAATTATAGCCTCTTATCCTCTAATAAGAGTACTAAGACCCTTAGCAGCCTACTATAAAGCATTTTAATAATACTCTTAAGCTTATTTAATAGGTTATTAGGACTAATAAAAGATTAATAACTACCCTTCTTTAATAATATAAGCAAAGCCATTATTAATAAGAGACGTAGGGCTCTCAAGGAAACCTAACCCTCCTATATTTACCTCCGTAATAATACCTTTCTTGAAATCTATTATCTTTCTAAAACTATAACTAGCCTCTTATTATATCTACTTTGATAAATCCTCCTCTCCCCCTTTAAACGCAATCTCTAGCCTATCAATCCCTAGCAACCTAGAGCCTATCGTAGAGGCCCTTTTTAACCGACTTAATATATTTATAAGGACTTACGGGTTTAATATTATAAAACGGTATAAATATACCTCTTGAATAGGTCGGCTTATACAATACTATTAGAAAGGTAAGTCTTTTACCTTATTATTTGCCTTATTATTCATATTGCGTAAGCATATTATATATCATATTAATCTATAAGAGTTATAAATTAGTATAGATATTGATTACGTAAGCAAAATTGATTATGTAAGCTTACGTGAGCGGAAGAAGACACTGGAAGGTAATAGAATGCGCTGGAATTTACTTGAAAGGTATTACGTATTACAATTACGCATTCACTTACGTATAACGTGGTTCATCAGTCAGCCGGCCGGACCAGTCAGCCGGACGTTTTTTCCCACGTCCACAACAACATCTAGTATTTCTCAACCACAACGCATTAAATCAATTATTGGTTATCGCTATCAGAATCTCCTGATGATTTGACATCTTTGGAACAGGTTCGTGCATTATACCCAGTCTTACCACACGCACCACAGCGTCTCCGAGTCGGCTGGGCTCTCTTTGATGGACCCCCCTCCTCATCCTCTCGAGGTGCTGGACGTTTACCTTTTTGTTTCTCTTCCAGCAAACCCTGAGATTCCTCTATACTAAGTGCCCCTCCAAGCTGCACACGCGACCTTTTAGCCCTCCGATGCTTAGCAAGTGCTACATTCGCATCCTCAAGGGTACGAAGCCGATCAGTCAAAATAGTGATTGAGTGCGCCATTGCCTACGCACCCTTTGACAATTGCTCAACTACAGCAATAATTGGTGTCGGTGAGCTTCCTTTATGAGCAGAGATCCGGCTTTTGATAAAGTTAGACTTTGAGACGGCTTATTATAGGTTAGAGGGCGTTTGCGACTGCCAAGGTGGTGGTGTTGAAGGGTTGGCCATAGGAGGTGTAGGCGTCCGTAAATGCACATCAAGCTTTTTGATAACATAGTCTGGGTCCCAAGGTGAAATTCCAGCGCCTTGGAAAGCAGACCTGATGTTTTCCTCATTAAAAACCTTGTTGTGGGCCTGGTGGAAGGCAATAAAGAACTCAGACTTGGTAATGTGATTTATGGAGGCTCTAATAAATAGGTTGATTTTATCACCGTATGCGCGTTTTAAAGGCGAGTAAAGCGCAATGTCTAATGGCTGTAATAGATGCGACGAATTTGCAGGCATACTGACCGTTACAATATTGTTCTGCTTGCAGTAATCGTCGAATTCGGCCGATAAATGGCTCTCATGGCCGTCGATAATGAGCATCCGGTAGACGCCCTTAGTTCGGTTCTTAGTATGTTTGTCGAAGTGTTTAATCCAGTCAAGACCCGTCTGATTATCCGTCCATCCATTAGCAGTGGGCTTGATGACCCAGTTGCCCGGAAAACCTGATTCCGTGGTCCAACCGGCAAGGTGATGTACGCCCTTGACGATCACGAACGGAGGGATGCACCACCCGCCCGAATTGATACATTCAATGACTGTAGCACATTCACGGTTACCCGGCTGGACAGACTTTGCTTTACCGCGTCGATCGGCGCGTATTACTACTATTAACGCGGTGATCATGCCCATCATGAAGCCAGTCTCGTCGAAATTATATAGGTCCTCCTCTTGGATTCCATACTTGGTCATCATGTTGCGTAACAACACAAACCACTTTGAAATAACCTCTGGGTCTTCTTTAAGAGCCCTTTCATAATCGTATGGACGATTCAACTTGGTTTTCAGAGCAGGCTGTGAGTCCACAAACCGCCTGGCTTATCGCTTGCCAACAGGCTCGGCATTACGCACTCGCAGCAGGAGATTGGCCATATTTTCCACACCGCCAAGGCGCAAAGGAAATCCTCTAGAATCCTGTTCAATAACGTATTAGAGGAGTGTTTTCTCTTCGATCGGATCGAGTTTATATCGTTGGGGTTGAGTTTGTTCGCGTCGCGGTCGGTTATTTATTCTATCGGCTAAGGTGCTCTTCGGGATACCGTAGGTCTTTGCGGCACGCGAAATGCTCAAGTTACTACCTACAGCGCGTATCGATCGGATCGCTTCAATCGCAAGAATGACTTTGTCTTCTTGGGTGTAGATTGGCATTATGGTTGTTGAGATTTTACACGTCAAAGGTTTAAGTGGTTTGGACATAAGTGTGTTTAGAAAAAAACGTCCGGCTGACTGGTCCGGCCGGCTGACTGATGAACCACGTTATGCTTATTAATTATGATATAATTAATAAGCAATGTAATATTCTTAGTCGGAAAATCTTATGCCTATATAAGGGCATCTTTTTCCTACTTAGACCTTTTGTTAAGCAAGCAACTTCTCATATAGTAATCTAACTATATACTCTCTTTACATTTATCAACCTC